AGAAAAGACATGACAATCTGCCCTCCTAAAAATTACAGCATAGGAAACCATATGGGGCAGTGCTACTCTGTTGTATAGGGTCACTATGAGTCAGAATTGACTTGACGGCACAAAATAACAACAATTATTTCTATATGTATGTATGTCTTTATCATGTACTGCATAGGGCAAATCTGCTGCAAAAGTAGTCTTTAAGTGTTAAAAAGCAAAATGTTACCTGGAGGACTAAGGTGTGCCTAATCCAAGCCATGGTATTTTCAATTGCCTCATATACATGCAAAAGCTAGATGATGAATAAGGAGGACTGAAGAAGAATTGATGCATTTGAATTATGATGTTGACAAAGAATATTGAATATACCATGGGCTTCCAGAAGAACAAACAAATCTGTCTTGGAAGAAGCCAGAATGCGCCTTAGAAACAAGGATAGTGAGACTTCTCATATACTTTGGACACGTTATCAGGAAGGACCAGTCCCTGGACATCATGCTACAAAGCAGAAGGTCAGCAAAAAAGAAGAAGACCTTCAAAAAGATAGATTGATAAAGTTGCAACAATGCGCTCAAACGTAGCAATGATTGTAAGGATGATGGAGGACTGGGCAGTGTTTTGTTCTGTTGTACATAGGGTTGCTGTGGGTTAGAACCAACTCTACAACACCTAGAAACACTAACAATGTCTCTCTCTCTATTTCTATGTATTATTGATTAGTTATTTCTATTTTCCACCTGTCTCAATGAAGTTGTGTTGAATATTCATTACTTAATATTCCTATATATATGTAGGAGCTCTGGTAGCATAGTGCCTAAGGCACTTGACTGCTAACCAGAAGGCTGGCGGTTCAAACCCACCAGGAACCCCTCAGAAAGAAGGTTGGGCAATCTACTTCTGTAGTAATACTGCCTCGGAAACCCAAAGAGGGGTTGCTATGAGTCGGGTCCAGCCTAATGGCACATAATATATATAAACTTATTGCCGTCGAGTTGGATCTGACTCATAGTGACCCCTCCTTGGGTTTCTGAGGTGGAATCACTATGGAAGTAGATTGCCCAACCTTCTTTCTGAGGAGAGGCTGATGGGTTTGAACCTCCAGCCTTCTGGTTAGCAGTCAAATGTCTTAGGCACTACACCACCAGAGCTCCTCACTGTCGTATACATTTATTATATTTATTCTGGCTGCTGCAATGTTCCTCTTACAAATATAAAATGCTCTTTGTCCATAGTGTGTGTATGCATGCCTTCAAAATTTCAGAATGCCTTTAAAAGCTCAGAACTTTTTCCCTCATAGCCAAAATAACACAATCACACTTAAAATTAACACTAATTCTTCAATACCATTCATATTTAGTACATAATCAAAATGTTCTTAATTGCCTTAAACGTACTTTACAGATGGTTTATCTAAATTGGATCCAAACTAGTGTCCTACATTTCATCTGGTTGTTAGGTCCCTTCAGTCTCTCTTCATCCTTTTTGTGACCTTGGTTTGTTAATGAGACTAAAGCAACTGTCCTCTGAAATGTTCCACTTTTTGGCTTGTCTGATTGCTTCTTGTGGTGTCCTCTGTCTTGTGTTCAGTGATTATTCTTTTTCATTCTTCATGCTCAGATTGTCACAGTTTTGGCCAAGGGGTACCTTTTGAGTCTGGTTTCTGAATCCTTTTAATATGATCCCATTCCTTAATGGAAGTTTCCTTTCATGCTGGCACAAGATACAGTAGATGTACTTCTATGTCAGACCAGGAAGGAATCAGTCATTCTCCAGGGAACCCTCATTTCTTTTAGTGACATATATTATTAGAGACATTATGATCATCATTGCTGTTTAAATTCCATTTTGTCTGCTTCTTAAGATTGCTGCCTCAGTTTTCATTTCATTTGGTTCATATTTGCCTGGTATATATTTGTCCATCCTCTTCTTTTGAGTTCAGTACTTTCTGTTCAGTAGTTTTAGAATAATAACTGCAAAATATGAAATAAGACAGCATAAGTAAGTAAAAGATCACTACAATAAATGGGAGTGTGTCAGGGTTGTATCCTTTCATCATACTTATTCAATCTGTATGCTGAGCAAATAATCCGAGAAGCTGGACTATATGAAAAAAAATATGGCATCAGGATTGGAGGAAGGCTCATTAACAACCTGCAATACACTGATGACACAACTTTGCTTGCTGAGAGTGAGGATGACTGACTTGAAACACTTACTGATGAAGACTGAAGAAGAAGATTGAAGAATACAGTCTGCAGTATGGATTACACCTCAATATAAAGAAAACAAAAATGCTCACAACTGGACAAATAAGGCAGTATCACAACAAATGGAGAAAAGATTGAAGTCGTCAAAGACTTCATTCACATCACTTGCTTCTACAGTCAATGCCAGTGGAAGGAGCAGTCAAGATGTCAGATGATGTCAAGATCTATTCTTAGCACTGGGCAAATTGGCTGCAAAAGACCTCTTTCAAGTGCTGAAGAGCAAAGATGCCTCCTTGAAGATTAAGGTGAGCCTGACACAAGCCATAGTGTTTTCAATCGCCTCATATGTATGTCAGAGCTGGACAATGAGTAAGGAAGACTGAAGAAGTTGTTTGTTGTTGTTATGTGCTGTCGAGTCGGCCCTGACTCACGCGACCCCTCCTTGGGTTTCCGAGGCAGTATCAGTATGGGAGTAGATTTCCGCATCTTCCTTCTGAGGAGTGGCTGGTGGGTTTGAGCCACCTGCCTTCTGATTAGCTGATTTCTTCTTCTTTTTTCTTCTTCTGACTGAAGAAGAGTTGATGCTTTTGAGTTGTGGTGCTGGCGAAGAATGCTGAAAGTACCGTGGACTGTTAAAAGAACTAACAAATCTGTCCTGGAAGAAGTGCAGCTGGAATGCTCCTTGGAATTGAGAATGGCCAGACTTTATCTCACTTACTTTGGTCATGTTGTAAGAAGAGATCATTCCCTGGAGAAGGATATCATGATTGGTAAAGTGGAGGGTCAACGAAAGAGGGGAAGGCCCTCAACAAGAAGGATTGACACAGTGGCTACAATGATGGGCTCAGGTATAGCAAGGATCATGGGGCTGGTGTAGGACTGGGCAGTGTTTCGTTCTGCTGTACACAGGGTCACTATGAGTTGAAGATGACTTGACAGCACCTAGCAACAACAACAAATAATAATTGTACTGGACCAATAAACAACATCATGACAAATGGAGAAAAGATTGAAGTTGTTGGAGATTTCATTTCACTTGGATGCATAATCATCACCCATGCAAGCAGCAGCCAGGAAATCAGATGTCATATTGCAGTGGACAAATCTGCTACAAAAGACCTCTTTAAAATGCTGATAGTAAACAAGATGTACATGCAGACCACTCAACCCAGGGTGATGCACCCACATACTCTATGGAAATGCATCTCTTGGAGTAATTGACCATGGGGCACCAGAGGGGCAACATTCACATGGAGGAAATGCAGGACAAACAGGAGTACATAACTATGAGGGACATGGTGGTGGTGGTGGTGGGGGTCTACTATGCAGGGAGGGGAGGAGACTGGGTTAGGGTTGGGCATGGTAAGAGGGGAGTGAAACTAAATGTACATGTAATGTTGAATATAAAACAAACTCCTAAAATAAAAAATTTAAAAAATAAAGTGCTTAAGAGTAAAGATGTACCTGAAGACTAAAGTGCACCATGGTATTTTCAATTGCCTCATATGCATGTGAAAGCTGGACAATGAATAAGGAAGACCAAAGAAGAGTTGATGCCTTTGAATTGTGGTGTTGCTGATGAATACTGAAAACACCATGGCCTGCCAGAAGAACGAACAGTTCTGTCCTGGAAGAAGTGCAGCTGGAATGCTCCTTAGAGATGAGAATGGTCAGACTTCATTTTGCTATTTTGGTCATGTTGTCAGAAGGGACCATTCCCTGGAGAAGGACATCATGCTTGGTAAAGTGGAGGGTCAGTGAAAAAGGGGAATGCCTTCAATGAGAAGGATTGACAGTGGCTGCAACGATGGGTTCAAGCACAGCAGGGGTTGTGAGCATGCCACAGACCAGGCAGTGTTTCATTCTGTTGTCAATGGGGTTGCTAGGTTTCGGAGCCAACTTGACAGCACATAACAACTACAACACAATAAATGTAAATGTGTTAAGTAATCAATTAAAAGACAAAGACTCCCAGAGGATTTATTTTAAAAAACCTCAAAACCCAAAACCAAGCCCATTGCCATCAAGTTGACTCCAACTCACACTGACCCTATAGAACAGAGTAGAAGTGCTCCATAGGGTTTCCAGTCTGTATGGAAGCAGACTGCCTCATTCTTAGTCCATGGAGCAGCTGATGGTTTTGAACTGCCAACCTTTTAGCAGTTGAATGTCTTAACCACTGCACCACCAGAGCTCCTTTTAAAACCCCAAGATCCAAATATATGTTTTCTAGAGCAAACACACTATTAAAGAGAGTCTGACCCCAGTCATCCATGCCTATCTCTAATGACTCCAAGCAAGAGATCTATTCTTTGTCTTAGTTATTATTAATAAAACACAGTAAGTAGCCAAACTCTGTCCTAAGCATTTAACATATTGATCTCATTTTATCTTTATCTCTGCACTTAGTGATTGGGACTATTATTATTTACTTCATTTTGCAAATGAAGAAACAGAGACACAGGGAAGTTAAGCAAGTTTTCTAAAACCGTGGAACTCTCAAGTTGTCATTTAATCTATGTCTTTACTAGTTGTCATTTAGATGATTCCAACCCATGGTAACCCCATGTGCTACAGAACAGAACTGTGTCCCACAAGGTTTTCAATGGCTGTGACCTTTTGGAAGTACGTTCCCAGGGTGTTCTTCTGTGGTGCCACTGAATGGGTTCAAGATGCCAGCCTTTCTGTTTGTAGCAGAGTCCTTAACTGTTTACACCACCCAGGGGCTACAATCTACGTCTAGAGCCTGTGTTTTAACCACTGTTCTTCATTCTATTTCCAGTCTTATCAGATGCAGCATCCATGCCTGGTCAGAATCACAGCATTGTGTCTGAATTTATCCTCATTGGCTTTGCTAACTTCCCCCAGCAGCTCCTACCAGCTTTCTTCTTGCTGTTCCTACTGATGTACCTGTTCACGCTGCTGGGGAACCTGCTCATCATGGCCACCGTCTGGAGTGAGCGCAGCCTCCACACGCCCATGTACCTCTTCCTGTGTGCCCTCTCCATATCCGAGATCCTCTACACCTTCGCCATCATCCCGCGCATGCTGGCTGACCTGCTCTCCACTTGTCCCACCATCCCCTTTGTGGCCTGTGCCAGCCAGATGTTCTTCTCCTTCACTTTCGGCTTCACCCATTCCTTCCTACTCACTGTCATGGGCTATGACCGCTATGTGGCCATCTGCCACCCCCTGCGCTACAATATCCTCATGAGCTCCTGGGGCTGTGCCTGCCTAGTGGCCTTGTCTTGGGCTGGGGGCTCTGTCATGGGGATGGTGGTGACAACAGCCATTTTCAACCTCACCTTCTGTGGTCCCAACAAGGTCCACCATTTCTTCTGCCACGTGCCACCCCTTGTGAAGTTGGCTTGCGGTGAGAATGTCTCCATTGTGGCCAAGGGCGTGGGCTTGCTGTGCATCACAGCCCTGCTGGGATGTTGTCTCCTTATCCTCCTCTCCTATGCCTTCATTGTGGCCACTATCTTGAAAATCCCCTCTGCTGAGGGTCGCCACAAAGCCTTCTCCACCTGCGCATCCCACCTCACTGTGGTCATTGTGCACTATGGCTTTGCTTCTGTCATCTACCTCAAGCCCAAGGGTCCCCACTCTTTGCAAGGAGACACCCTCATGGGCACCACATACACAGTCCTCACACCCTTCCTCAGCCCCATTATCTTCAGCCTTAGGAACAAGGAGCTTAAGAATGCTCTGAAGAAGACCTTTCTCAGCAAACTCTTTCCCCTGAGTTCCTGAAGTGGCTGGTTTTGTGACAAGAAATGTAATGGGTTGGGGGTGCCTCAGTCTTCTCATCCATAAAATAGGTGTAATTATGCTGAACTTGTGATGAGTCCTGTGTGTGAAACCCCCCCTCCTTTTAGCAAGGGTTTGCTTGCCCTTCCTCCCTCTCTCTCTCTCTCTTTTCCCTCCTTCCCTGCCCCCCTCTCTCTCTCCTTTCCTTTCTTCCTTGTTGATAATTATGCTGATAATAGCTTTCAATTTTTTAAACACTTAGTAGTAGCTAGGGATGATTTTTTTTTAACGACAATTTTAGGTCATACAATTCACCCATTTCAAGTGTACAATTCATTAGGTTTTAATATAGTCATAGATATGTACAGCTATCACCACAGTCAATTATAGAACATTTCCATCAGCGCCTTTTCCTTTCAGCTGCCCTCAATCCCCCAGCCACCCTGCCCAATACAGTCATGAATTCTATCCCTATGGATTGCGGTCCTTGACAGTTCGTATAAATGGGATAATATACTATGTAAGTAGTCCAGGTGGTGCAATGATTAAGCACCTGGCTCTGAACTGAATTTGAACCCATCAGCTGTCCCATGGAAGAAAGTTGTGGCAGCTTGCTTTTGTAAAGATTTATAGCTTAGGAAAACCTATGAGGCAGTTTTTCCGTTCTATAGGGTCACTGTAAGTAGAATCAACTCCACAGCAACAAGTTTTAATAATTTTTATTATTTCCCTGATCCTGCTTTCAATATACTATATGACCTTTCATGTCTTCATAATATTTTCAAGGTTCATCCACATTGTGATATATATCAGAGCTTCATTCCTTTTTATGCCTGAATAATATCCCATTATATGGATATACCACATTTTATTTATTCATTCATCCATTGATGGAGATATGGATTGTTTCTATCTTTTGACTTGTGGATAATGCTGCTGCAAATATTTAAGTACACTTTTTTTTTGCATGCTTTGTGTTTTCATTTCATTTGGGTATATATGTAGGATATAGGTCCTATGGGGATTTTAAGGAGCTCTGGTGTCACAGTAGTTAAAACATTCAGTTCCTAATCGAAAGGTTAGTGGTTTCACTCTACCAGCCACTTTGTGGGAAGAAGATGTGGCAGTCTGCTTCCACAAAGATTACAGCTTTGTAAACCCTTTGGGGGAAGTTCTACTCTTCCCTATAGGGTCTCTATGAGTCAGAATTGATTTGATGGCTTGATGGCAATAGGTATCAGTGCCACAAAAGACTCTTAAGATGCTGCAGTGTTTGATTTGGAGACAGACCTGTCCCCCTGGATGGGTGAGCCACAAAGTCGAGGTAGAAAGACAGCACATGAAGTGTTGAATGGAGGAAATCTAAGTCGGAAGCTGAGCTCTACCAAGATGCACGATTTTGAATAAGCTATGCAACCACTTGAATAAGGAAGACTGAAGAAGAGTCAATGCTTTTGAGTTGTGGTGCTGGCGAAGAATGCTGAAAATACCATGCTAGAAGAGCTAACACATCTGTCCTGGAAGAAGTGCAGCTGGAGTGCTTCTTGGACGTGAGAATGGCCAGACTGCATCTCACCTACTTTGGTCATGTAAAAAGAGACCATTCCCTGGAGAAAGATATCACAGTTGGTAAAGTGGAAGGTCAATGAAAGAGGGGAAGGCCCTCAACAAGATGGATTGACACAGTGGCTGCAACAATGGGCTCAGGTATAGCAGGGTTCATGGGGCTGGCACAGGACCTGGCAGTGTTTCGTTCTGCTGTACATAGGGTTGCTATGAGTCAGAGACGACTTGATGGCACCTAACAACAACAACAACATGCAACCATTTGAGCCTCAGTTTCTCCTGTCAGTCGAGTAATGATTGTATCTACCCTGATCCTCTATTGTGAGGCTGTAGTGAGATAATGTATGTGAGCTGTAACAGGAAAAAAACTGCTACTTAACTGTATCCTACAAGGGGCAGGAGCTGCCCTGGGTTCCCAGTCTTGACTAAAATTGTTTCCATCCCCTCTCAGTTCATGTTATTGGGGGATATTTTCACCACACAAATTTACAGAGAAAGACTGAATTCACATATGAGAACAAATGATGTTTAATTAGTTTACTACTCAACTTAAATACAAAAATACAAATTTTCAACAGATTATAAATACCATGCAGTATGGTCAAATTTAGGAGCTTTGGTAGTGCAATGGTTAAGTGCTTGACTAGTAACTGAAAGGTTGGCTGTTTGAACCCACACAGTGGTTCCTTGGAGGAAAGACCTGGTGACTTGCTTCATCAAGGATTACAGCCTAGGAAGCCCTATGAGGCTGCTCTACTCTGCCACTATGAGTTGTAATGGACTCAATGGCACCTAACAACACCATGGTCAAATGAAACCCCTCATTGGGAAGTGGGTTGACCAGTAAGCTGGTTGTGAGCTACATTTTCATTCTGGACTCTGCTCTCTTCATTGTGGTTCAACAAAGTGTTGTTCTACCTGTTCATTCCCCTACACAGTAGGTGACTTCTCACAGTGGGACTCTTTCCCTTGAATAAACTATGAACTATAGAGTCTTTTTCTTGGGGGGAGGAGTGTCTCTCAGCAGCAATTCAAGACTCACACTCAAAATGTGGAGGCTTCCTTGACTTTTTTCTGTTAGACTGCCTACTGCTGTTTCTAACTGGTATTACACAAATCTGCACAATGCTGAAATTTAGTTCTGTAAAGATTTACCACCTCGGAAACCCAGTGGGAGTCACTATGAGTCAGAGTTCACTCAATGGCAGTGAGTTTGGTTTTCAGGAGCTCTGGCTGTATAGTGCCTAAGGCACTTGATTGCTAACCAGAAGGTTGGTGGGTCAAATCCACCAGCTGCTCCATGGAAGGAATATAGGGCAATCTATTTCCATAAATATTTATGGCCTCAGAAACCCATTGGGGGTCACTATCCACTCGATGGCAGTGACTTTGGTTTGGTTTTGTTTTTCACTCTGCTCTAATGAAAAACCAAACCAAACTCACTGTCATCAAGTCGGATCTGACTCATAGCGACCCCTCCTTGGGTTTCTGAGGGAGTATCTCTATGGAAGTAGATTGCCCAACCTTCCTTCCGAGGAGTGGCTGGTGGGTTTGAACCACCAGCCTTCTGATTAGCAGTCAAGTGCTTTGGCACTACGCCACCAGGGCTCCTTTCCTCTGCTCTAGATCCCTGTACAGTGCAAGCAGTTTGCATTTGACTGTTAACCTAAAGGCTGGCTGTTTGAACCAACCCAGTGGCACTATGGAAGAAAGATCTAACAATGTGCTTTTGTAGATATTACAGCCAAGAAAACTTTAAGAAGCAGTTCTACTTTGTAACACATAGTGTCGCCACAAGTCACAACTGACTCAGCAGCAACAGGTTTTTTTTTGGCTCTTTGGTTACTCTCCTCTGTTGTAGTCTTTTGTACTTTCACAAAAATCTGGGCAGTAGCTACATGTTACTGCCTCAAAACCAAACCAGACTCACTGCCATCTAGTTGACTCTGACTCACAGTGACCCCCCTGGGTTTCCAAGGCAGTAAATCTATACAGAAGTAGAGTGCCCCATCTTCCTTCTGTGGAGCAGCTATTGGGTTTGAACTACCAACCTTCTGGTTAACAGTCAAATGTCTTAGTCACTGTGCCACCAGTGCTCCTTTGTTGCTGCCCAAGAGAAAGTAACCCCCCAGCCCCCGCAAAAAACAACAACAACAACAACAAATCACTTGCTGTTGAGTTGATTCCTACTGATAGCAATCCTATAGGGCAGAGTAGAATTGCTCATAGTATTTCCAAGACTGTAGTCTTCACAAAAGCAGACTGTCACATTTTTCTCCCACAGATCTGCTAGTGAGTTTGAACTGCCAACCTTTCCATTAGTGGCTGATTGCTTGACCACTGTGCCACCAGGGAGAGAGTAGGAGCATGAAATCTCCAAGGAATTTCTCCCAGAGAGTCACAATTTTTCTGGGCTCAATTTGCTGAGGAAGGTCTTGTTCATGGCATTCTTCAGCTCCTTGTTCCTGAGGCTGAAGATGATGGGGCTGAGGAAGGGTGTGAGGACCGTGTATGTGATGCCCATGAGGGTGTCTCCTTCCAGAGACTGAGGACTCTTAGGCTTGAGGTAGATGACAGAGGCAAAGCCATAGTGCACAATGACCACAGTGAGGTGGGACACACAGGTGGAGAAGGCTTTGTGACGACCCTCAGCAGAGGGGATTTTCAAGATAGTGGCTACAATGAAGGCATAGGAGAGGAGGATAAGGAGACAACATCCCAGCAGGGCTGTGATGCACACCAAGCCTATGCCTTTGGCCACAGCTGGCACATCATCTCCACAAGCCAACTTCAATAATGGTGGCACATGGCAAGCAAAATGGTGGATCTCATTGGGTCCGCAGAAGGTGAGGTTAAAAATGGCCATTGTCACCACCATCCCCATGATGGATCCTCCAGCCCAGGACCAGGCCACCAGGCAGGCACAGCCCTGGGGGCTCATGAGGACATTGTAGTGCAGGGGGTGGCAGATGGCCACATAGCGGTCATAGCCCATGACAGTGAGTAGGAAGGAATGGGTGAAGCCAAATGTGAAGGAAAAGAACATCTGGCTGGCACAGGCCACAAAGGCGATAGTGGGATGGGTGGAGAGCAGGTCAGCCAGCATGCGTGGGATGATGGCAAAGGTGTAGAGGATCTCGGATATGGAGAGGGCACACAGGTAGAGGTACATGGGTGTGTGGAGGCTGCGCTCACTCCAGATGGTGGCCATGATGAGCAGGTTCCCCAGCAGTGTGAACAGGTACATCAACAAGAACAGCAGGAAGAACATCAGCTGAAGGTGGGGGAAGGTGGAGAAGCCTATGAGGACGAACTCAGACACTGCTGAGTGATTCCCTCCCAGCATGGAGACTGTACCTGGAGGTAGGTGTGACAGGGAGAGTTGAGTCACTGGATGGAGAAAGGCCATCAACTTCTACCATACTAGGGACCTCCTCCAAGAAGCTTCTGCTCATCAATGATAATAGGTGGCACTGATTGAACACCCACATTATACCTTGCATAATTTCTCTCATTGATCAAGTGAGGAAGCCACCACTTTTCACCCCCATTTTGAGTCTCCTGTGTATACCTAATGAGAATATTGGGGCACAGACAGGTTAAGCATCTTGCTCAAGGAAGTCATTGAAATGGTAGAGCCAAGATTAAACCTATGGCTAGGCTGACTCCAAAGACCTTCTTGAACTCTCTATTTACTCTCAAAATGAAAATATTCATTCACCAGAGCTTCCTACCATTGACAGTGCACACTCCTATTTCCTTCTGAAAAATCTTGTTTGTCCCACAACTTCAGGTACCGCAAGATGTTCCTACCCCATGGCCATGACTCCTTGGACTGGGGTACATCTCTGATTTCATCTGAACAAATCAGATTCTCCCTCCTTGGGAAGGGAATCTGTTATAAGTTGAATTGTGTCCCCTCAAAATATGTGTTGGAATCCTAACCCTGATACCTGTGGATGGAGTCCCTGGATGGTCCCAATGATTAAGCATGTGGCCACTAACCAAAAGGTTGGGAATTTGAATCCATCCCAAGGTGCCTCAGTAGAAAGTGCTAATGGTCCATATGATGAAAACATCATGGAATTTAGTTGTAGTCTGAAACATACAGGTTTGCTGTGAGTAGGAATCTGGCAACTGGTATACCTGTAGGTGGACTTCTGTTAGGAAATATGGTTTTCTTTGTTATATTAATGAGGCTGTAGCATTGTAAGGTGGTCCTAAGTGTAATCATTTCCAAGTTATACGACAGCAGATTAGACACAGAGGCAGGCACATACTGAGAAAGACAGATGCCGTGTGAGGTTTGCCATGGAACCACGGCAACAACAGAAATTCAGACAAGGATTGTCCCCTGGAGCCAACAGGAAGAGCAAGCCTGGATTCATACTTCTATCCTCCTGAACTGTGAGAAAATAACTTTCTCTTCTTTAAAGCCACCCATGCATGGTATTTGGGAGCTCTTGTAGCATAGTGCCTAATGGACTTGACTGCTATCCAGAAGGCTGGTGGTTCAAACCCACCAACCAGCCACTCCTCGGAAGGAAGGTTGGGCAATCTACTTCTGTAGTGATACTGCCTCAGCAACCCAAGGAGAGGTCGCTATGAGTTGGGTCCGACTCCACGGCACATAACAACAACAAAAACAACAACAACAACATGGTATGTGTGTTACAGTAGCACTAGAGAAGGAGGTAGTATTCTAGGGCTGCTGTAGCTCATCCACAAGTGGATGGCTTTAAAGAACAGAAATTATTTCCTTACAGTTCAGAAGACTAGAAGTCTGAATTCAGGACACCAACTCTAAGAAAGGCTCTCTATCTGTCAGAACAGGGGCCAGAACCTGGTCCCTTTCCAGCTTCTGTTCCGCAGTTCCTTGGTAATTGCCATCTGTCTTCCCCCTTTAGTGCTTATCTTTGTGTCTATGCAAGGAGCTCTGGTGGCGCGGTGCCTAAGACATTTGACTACTAACCAGAAGATTTGTGGTTCAAACCCACCAGCCACTCCTTGGGAGGAAGACTGGGCAATCTACTTCTGGATTGATACTGTCTTGGACACCCAAAGGGGGTCTCTATGAGTTGGAATCGACTTGATGGCAGTGAGTTTGATTTTTTTGGTTTGTGTCTATGCTGCTCCTTATATCTCAGAAGGGATTAGGTTTAGGATCCACTGGTATGTAGGACACTGATATTCCTAAACAAGATCACATACATAGATGTGTTGTTGTTAGGTGCTGTGGAGTCAGTTCTGACTCAAAACAACCCTATGTAGAACTAGGAAACACTGTCCATTCCTGCTTTATCCTTTCAATTGTTGCTATGTTTAAGGCACTGTATGAGACCTTCTCATCCTTACACTTTACCAAGCATGATGCCCTTCTGTAGGGACAGGTCCCTCCTGATAACATGTCCAAAGTACGTGAGACGGAGTCAAGCCATCCTTTCTTCTGGGGAGTATTCTGAATGTACTTTCAAGACAGATCGTTTCTTCTTGTAGCAGTCTGTGGTGTATTCAACACTTACTGCCAAGCCCACAATTCAAATGCATCAATTCTTCTTTGGTCTTCCTTAGTCATCATCCAGTTTTTGCATGAATTCGACGTGATTGTAAATACCATGGCTTGAGTCAGGTGCACCTTAGTCCACACATTGACATCTTTGCTTTTTGATACTTTCAAGAGGTCTCTTGTAGCAGGTTTCCCCAGTACAATAAGTCCTTTGATTTCTTGACTGCTGCTTCCATGGGTGTTGATTGTGGATCCAAGTAAAAGTCCTTGACATCTTTAATCTTTTCTCCATTTATCATGATGTCGCTTACTGGTCCACATGTGAAGATTTTAGTTTTCTTTATTTTGAGGTGTAATTCACACTGAAGGCTGCAGTCTGTAGTCTTTGATCTTCATCAGTAAGTGCTTCAAGTCCTCTTCACTTTCAGCAAGCAAGGTTGTGTCATTTGCATATCACAGGTTGTTAATGAGTCTTCCTCCAATCCTGATGCCACTTCATATTGTCCAGCTTCTCCGATTATTTTTTCACCATTCAGATTGAATAACTGTGGTGAATGCATACAACCTAGACACACCTTTCTTGATTTTAAACCATGCAGTATACACTTGTTCTATTCTCAGTCTATGTACTGGTTCTGTATGAGCACAATTAAGTGTTCTGAAATTTCTGTTCTTTCCAATGTTAGCCATAATTTTTTTATGATCCACACAATAGTATGCCTTTGCATAGCCAATAAAACACAGGTAAACATCTTTCTGGTATTCTCTGACATCAGCAATGATATCCCTTGTTCCACATCCTCTTCTGATTCTGGCTTGAATTTCTGGCAGTTCTCTGTCAATGTACTGCTGCAACTATTGGTGTAGTGCCTAAGACATTTGACTACTAACTAGAAGGCTGGTGGTTCAAACCCACCACCCACTCCTTGGAAGGAAGGTTGGGCAATCTATTTCTGTAGTAATACCACCTCGGAAACTCAAGGAGGGGTTGCTATGAGTCGGATCCAACTCGATGGCAGTGAGTTTGTGTTTTGTTTTTTTTTTCAGCAAAATTTTTCTTGCATGTGATATTATTGAAGTTATTTGATAATCTCCACATTCTGTTGGATCACTTTTCTTTGGAATAGGGATAAATAAGGATTTCTTCCAGTTGATTGTTCATAGATTTTTTTTTTTTTTTCAGATTTCTTGGTATAGACAAGTGAGTGCTCCCAGCATTGTATCCATTTGTTGAAACATCTCTATTGGTATTCCATCAATACCTGGACTTTGTTTTTTACCAGTGCCTTCAGTTCAACTTGGATTTCTTCCTTCCCTACCCTGGTTCTTAATCCTATGTTATCTCCTAAAATGGTTGAACATCAACCAATTCTTTTGGGTACAGTGACTCTATATTCCTTTCCATACCTTCTAGCCATGGGACATGCACTGGGGTCTAATTGCATTGACAGGGCAGAGCCTCCAGCCCACCTGTTTTCTAAATGTGAAGCAAAAATAAAGCATCACTCCCTTTGGGCCTCAAAAAAAAAGAAAGAAAGAAAGAAAAGTCCATAGGTATGGGGTAGAATTTAAACTCATATTTTGAGGAGACACAATTCAATCTACAACAATAATTAAAAGAATTTGAGGAAGGAGACCATGTGGCTCCAAGGAAGAGCCAACAAAAACATTCTGGTCATTTCCCACCTGGCATGGCTGTATATTCTGAAATAATGATCAAAAAGGGAGCATGGGAGTCAGGAAGCCTGAGTTCAAATCCTTGTTCTTCTGGCTGGGCAATCTTGAGCGAATTTCTTCACAAATCTATCCCTCAATTTCCTCTAATTACCTGAAAATACTAATAAATGGGCTACAATTGGAGTAAGAACTCTGGTGGCACAGAGGTTAAACACTTGGTTGCTAATTGAAAGGCCAGTGGTTTGAACCCACCAGTCACTCCATGGGAGAGAGAAGTGGCAGTCTGCTTCTGTAAAGGTTTTATCCTTGGAAACCAAATGAGGCAGTATCACCCTTTCCTATAGGGTCACTATGCATCAGGATCAACTCAATGACAATGGGTTTGATTTGGTTTTGGTTGGATTCTTGGAACGATTATTACATGGATAATTAAATCAAATGAGAAGTGTGCAAATGTGCATGGCTCACCTATTTTAAAGTGCATGGTTCAGAGGCATTTAGTACGTTCGCAGAGCTGTGCAATCATCACTTCTATTTAGTTTCAGAACTTTCTCATTATCTCAGAAGGAAACTTTGTACCCATTAGCAGTTCTATCCAGTTCTCCCTTTGCCCCAGGCCCCTGGGAACCACTAACTTGCTTTCAACTCATACATGTAAGTCCATAGCAGCATTATTCATAGTAACCAAAAGGTATACGCCACCTAAATAGCTTTTATTTAGTTAGATTTCAATATATCTCTATTAATCACTTAAGCATCTTAAAATTATCTTTTTTTATTAGGCAAGTCAAAGTTGAAAAGGTAGTCAACCACTTTCTGTCTCTATGGATTTGCCTTTTTTGGACATTTCATGTAAGTGGGACTGTTGTGGTTACCTAGTGCTGCTCCGACAGGAATTTACCACAAGTGAGATGGACTTAACAAACAAGAGTTTATTCTTACAATTTGGAGGGTTTAAGTCCGAGTTCCAAGTGGCAGGCTCTAGGGGCTGGGTGAAAGCCCCTCAGCCTTGGGCTTCAGCTCTGCCTTCTGCTCCCGGCCCACTGAAGCCAGAGGCTTTTCCTCACTCAAACAGCTGCTGGCTGCTGAGGCTGACAAGCCCAAGGTCGACAAATAAAAAGGCACAGTCCCAGTGTTACCAAACCACACAGCAGGCCATTAATTCAAGTCCACTGAAAGTCCCAAGGTCGGCAGAGCATGGCAGGCTGCTGAAC